GAATAATGCCTTAAAAAAAAAAAAAAAAAGAAGAAGAAAATCCAGATATCTTTTTGCTTTGCTTGACTTGGAGCTGTCGCAAAGTCACACTGCAATGAGGCTGAGAAAAACCACCCAACGAAATACAAATTTTGGCACATCGGGAAGGGTGCATGCTCCCAGGATGAGTCATATGTCCTTCCAGTCTATGGAAAAGTCCGTGGATTAAAAATAGAATTTATTTTTACTCTGCACCGGCTAGAGCAAGCTCTCAGGACTGGAGCGCGCTTCCCGCAGACGCGTGAGGCAGCGGCGCCACCTGGCGGGCGCGCCAGCAACTACCGCTCGCCTGCCTCCAGCGCATCTCCCCCTGCCGGACCCTGTCGCCGCCGCACGGGCCTGGGTCCAATCTGGGCAGGGAGTAGCAGGCTACTGGGGTTCAGGGAGTCCGGCTTTTCCCCTCTTGACAGAGGCTTTAGGGCAGGATGCCATATCCAGACTCTTAAATGACACTTGTTGAGTCTATTCCGCCCTTACTGGGAAGAGAGTTTGGAAGAGGGTCTGCTGCTCTACACTGGCTCCCAGCGGCAGCCAACCCACCAGGCGGCCGCAGGTCTTGTAACAGTGTCCCAACACCTTGAAAATTCGTCCTGGTTGGAAAGAGCTCTGCTTCTCTCTGAGCAAAGGTCTGTTTTCTGGGGGATACAGACATTTTATATAAAGGGATAGAATTCTTAAAAAAAAAAACACCAAGATGGTTATTTCATAAACAGCAGGTCTCTCTAATAGAAAAGCTAATCAGTTTCTTAAGAAACTACAGTTCTTAGAAATCTTTAATAAAATGATCCCTCCCCCAAAGTCACGTTGACAGCAAACATTTTCAGGAATTCTCAAGTGGCAGCAAAAGCAGTATCTTTCATGCACATCACACTTAGATTTCCAACTGTCCACAGATGGAAAAGACGATACAAACTTCGACAAAGATGCGCACAGAAGAACAGCAAGAATAGCACTCTGGGAAGTTTGACCCACAAGGGTTCTTCCCAGCAAAATCCAATATGGCTTTTCACTGGACATTAAGGACAGGGCAAGGGACCCCCTGCAGCGAGGGTCTCTGTGGACCCCCTAGCTCTGCAGTGGGACCTGTGTGTGACAGGTTTTTCCAAAGAGTCTGCTGGGGGTCAGGGACGTGTTACCTTAAAGCTCTCACCTGTCACACGCGGAGCACAGAAAGATGAGGAAGGTGATGAGGAAGCAGGTGGCGACAGCTGCCAAACTTCCCCACAGGACGATCTGCATGTGTTCGGGGTCTAGCATGCTCCCCGAGGGTCCCATGGCGGGAGCAGGAGGTGGCACCAGCTGCTGTGAGCA